CGATTGTTTCAGCATCCAAGACTTAGTGGTCTCTTCGGAGACCATCGCGACTTCGGCAAGTTTGTGGATGGCACCCGCGCCTTTCCAGTATCCCGTTGGCTGTAGTAAATATTATCTATTACATATATTGTGTTATTTGTGTTTTTCCTTTAATACAACTGTTCCATCGTCGGTGATCCATCTTTTGCCATCGGCGACAATGATGTTTTGTTCATTCTCAAACCGTATATCCTGTGCTTGTCACTTCTCAGAGTGTTCAGGTTCTCCATCGTTTGGCTGAATACTGAGCTGTTCTTGAATATAAATGGCTGGTGACCCGTTTTCTTAAATCCGTGTTCATCCTTATGTAAGGTTCCATCCAAGGACTTTTGTCGAATTTGAGAACTCTTTGTATTTTCTTCAGCTTCATGCCCAGCGACAGGTATATCTGCGGGTTGCGATAGTGAATGATGTATTTGGTTTTATCCATCAAGTTTGGTACGATTTTGCTACTTCAGCCAGTTATTTCTCAATGAGTTTCAGACATCCAGTCTCCGTCGAACATCAATCGTTTGGGAGCATGTGGATATCTGTTGTGCAACTCTGGGGTATTTTAGGTCAACTTCCAGTGTGTAGCCTTTTGTTCAAATCTGAGGTGATACCATTGACTTCTTTGAGAGGCATTTTAGAAGTTGGATAGATGAAGGAAAACCAAGTTCTATGGATAGACAATTTCTTTATTGCAAGGGGTGCGACGTTTCGGTGTAGGTACTAACACCGTTATCAAACAAGTGATACACAGATTTGTAACATGGAGAATATATACATAGCTGCATAGTGTGTACATACAATTGATATACATTGGATTGCTAATTAGTGATTTGAGCAGAGTAGGTTCATGTACAGAGTGATAGTGATTAAAACAATATGCAGAATGAGTTTATACAATAGATGAGTTGATGTACACTGAGATGGTAATGTGAGTTGGAGAGAGTAGATTGATGTACACATTGATTGGTTTTGATAACTGTACACAAAAGGGGGGCATAGAATCCAGTTGGACTAGGTATGGGTGGATTACTGGTGATCTTTAATTAGGTGGTGATAGGCTGAAGAGATAAAATAACCTTGATCCCGGTTCATGGTGTGGTTGAAGCATTGGATTTTTATGGTTTCAAGAAGTTTCCTAATCTTGTAGTCTGATTGGTTGGTTTCGAGGGTGTGGATGTTGTCCCAAAGGATGGCATGGTCAGTGTTGGCTTGGGTGTGGTCGGCTATGGCGGATTTGGAGTCTTTTTTCTGGACTTGTGTTCTTTAATTCGTAGTGTCATCCAGATCAATTGCCAATGTGGAGACTCTTACATCCCAGTCAACTCAAAGGTCTCAATCAACGTCAAACGTTCAACAAATCGTTAAAAACAAAGGCAAACCGAAGCCAGATTCTTTGAAGAAACAAAATGGCAGAGCCCCCAAGGGGTTAGATGATAAAATCAAATTATTTAATAAATACGGATCACTTGAGGACATGGACGTGTCTGAAAACGTCCATTCTAGGGCACATAGCTTGTCGCCCTCAAAAACGGTGTGGGGTAGACCCCCAACTAATCCGCCTAAAAGATAGGATTATCTAACAATATCGTACAGTGGAACTGTAGAGCACTCCGGACAAATTTTAATGAAATACAGCTATTAATCCAGGATTTAACACCATGAGCTTTCTGTCTGCAAGAGACGTATCTGAAACAGACAGATAATTTTAACTTACGTCAGTCTGAAACGTATCATTATTTTTCCCCTCCAGGTGATAGAGCCGTTGGAGGTTCTACTATCCTTATACGACAGGATGTTATTCACAGCCCTGTTACACTTAACACTAATCTCCAAGCTGTTGCAGTGCGACTTACTCTGGGTGTAGCATTTACGTTATGCTCTTTGTATATTCTGCCTTCATCGAAACCTTCAGCTGACTGATCTTCAATCACTCTATGATCAACTCCCAAAGCCATGTGTTATTATGGGTCACTTAAACGGTCACAACCCACTCTGGGGCAGTACTAACTCTAATACTAAAGGCAAAATACTGGAAGATTTCATTTCCAATATTGACCTGTGCATATTTAATGATGATTCAAGCACCTATCTGCATCCTGCAACTGACACTTATTCTTCTCTGGATTTGTCTCTTGCAGATTCTAACCTCCTGAATGAATTTGATTGGTCTGTTAATAATGACCTTTGTGGAAGTGACCACTTCCCAACTATCCTTTCAGAAATAACTCCATCTGATTCTCCATCGTATACAAGATGGAACTTTTCGAAGGCTAACTGGTCTTTATATCAAACTATATGTAAATCGAAACTGCGCCCTGAATATTTCAGTGATATAACTGATCCCATTTACACTTTTGCTGACGTTTTAAAGCAAATAACTGATGAGTGTATGCCAAAGTCCTCTACATGTACGAAAACCATGGTTTAATACAGATTGTAGACAAGCAAGAAAAGCCAGGAAAAAGGCAGAGCGTTATTTCCGCCATCATCCAACTGTCCATAACTTAAATATATTTAAAATACTCAATGCAAAGGCGCGTCGTACGACAATCTTGGAGAAATTATGTCTCAAAAATTAATTCACTCACGCCAATGTATAAGGAATGGAACATGGTTCAAAGAATTAAAGGCCAAGGTTCAAAATCAGCTGTTCACCATCTTAAAGATGGTGATAATTTAATTACAGACAAGTCTAAAATTGCAAATAAAATTGGCGAAACTCTTGCCAAAACTTCATCATCGGCAAATTATGTCCCTGAGTTTCAGAGATATCAGAAACAACAGGAAAAGACAAAACTTAATTTCGAATCAAATAACGGTGAAGATTATAATGAAGTGATTTCGTTAAATGAGCTACATACTGCTCTTGAGCAAGCTCATGACACTGCAGCGGGTGATAATAATATACATTACCAGCTACTGAAACACCTACCTGAACCATGTCTGATGACACTTTTAGATATATTTGACCAAATATGGACGTCTGGAGCATTTCCTCCTTCGTGGCGTAATGCCATTGTAGTCCCAATACCAAAACCTGGCAGGGATCATACAGATCCGTCTAATTACAGACCGATATCTCTAACTAGCTGTGTGTGTCAAACCATGGAACGTATGGTGAATAATAGATTAACTTGGTATCTTGAAACCAATAACCTTATAACAAAGATTCAATGTGGTTTCAGGAAATATCGTAGTACCATTGATCATTTGGTACATTTGGAATCCTTTGTTAAAAATGCTATAGTAAATAAACAACATGCTGTATCAATTTTCTATGGTCTTGAGAAAGCTTATGATACGACCTGGAAGCATGGCATTTTGAAGGATTTACATGATTTTGGATTGAGAGGCCGTTTGCCTCTTTTTATATCACAGTTTTTAAAAGACAGGCAATTTCAAGTCCGAATGGGTTCAACCCTGTCTGATCATTATAATCAGGATCAGGGTGTCCCACAAGGCAGTATTTTGTGTGTCACACTGTTTAGCATCAAGATCAATAGTTTATCAACGGTTTTAAATGATTCAGTTGCTGGATCATTATTTGTGGATGACTTCAATATTTCTTGTCGTGGTAAAAATATGCATGGCAACTGCAGTTATGGTTAAACAAAATAAATAAATGGTGTCTTGAAAATGGCTTTACATTTTCTAAATCAAAAACTAATTGTATAAATTTTTGTAGAAAATATAAGCCTAATTAGAACCCAGAACTATCTTTAAATGGCACTCCTAATAAAGTTGTAAAGGAGGCCAAATTCTTGGGCCTAATTCTCGATTCCCATTTAACATTCCTGCCACATATTAAATCCCTTAAAGCAAAATGCCTGAAGGCACTCGATTTGTTAAAGGTTGTTTCCAATTCCTTCACTTATATAGATCATTGGTGCGATCTAAACTTGATTATGGCTCGATCGTATATGGCGGAGGCTGCAAAAGCAACCTTAAACTACTTGATTCTGTTCACCACCAAGGTCTCAGTCTTGGATCATTTTGAACTTCTCCAGTTGATAGTCTCTACGTCGAGGCAGATGAGCCTTCTCTTACCCAACGCCGTATAAAATTATCTTTACAATATATTACCAAACAATATTCTAACGAATCTAACCCTGCATTTAACCTCTTTATGAGGATTTGTATAACAAAAAGCCTTCTCTTGTTCTGCCTCTTGGACACAGAATTAAACTATTCATTGCTGCTGCCAGAATTGAGCTGGAGAATATATCTTCTTCTCGTCTTCTTTCTTCTCCTCCTTGGCAATTGGTGAGGCCAGACGTTGACTTAACTTTAACCACATTTAAAAAATCCGAAACTAATAATTTACAGTATAAACAAGAATTTAGTCAATTAAGTAATAAATATAATACAAATAAATCCTTATTTACAGATAGATCCAAGTATGGCGGCGCGGTGGCTTGTGCCACTGTCATTAGATCCAGAACACTATCTTCTTGACTACCAAGTAATAGCTCTATTTTCACAGCAGAAGCTAACGCCATATTAACAGGTCTTAAATATGTAATGGTTATATTTTGCAGTGACTGCAACGTAAAGCAGAGATTCGCGTTCTGGCCGAGGAAAGTTAAATACTATTGAGGATCATATCTCCACAGCCCTATCCAATAGTAAGGTATCTAGGAAAGAGTTTAGGTTGGTGCTGTCTGAACTCGATAATTCCATAGGAGGAAACAAGAGATAAGAACCAAGTCTCGTAAGACAGCGAAAGGCAGAAAAAACCCCTCATAGAGCGACAAAAAGCCCGACAAGAAAAAGGCATAAATGTATAAAAATATCAGGGGACATCAAACGATGGTCGACGCAGTTTTCCATATTTTCCAACCATCGGTGGGGCATTATTTGACGTAAATAATGCCATAGGAGGAAGTGATGCCGTACCACCATCACATATACTACTATTTACAAAGAAAAACATCAACCACAATAATCGTTGTTATCGTCACGTGTTACAGCTGAGAGACTACACGACTTCACATTGGAGGTCTTAAGAAAGAACCCGGCCACCTCAACAAGCGCTAGGAGTGTGCTGTGTGGAACCTACAATGGTGCGGTCACAGAACCAGGAAAGACTGCCAGTGTAAAATGCATTGGATCTGTTAGAGGGCGATATGTCCGACTGAGGGGGACAAAGGACAGTGAAGGTGACATCCTTCAATTCTGTGAGGTCAAAGTTTTCGGATCCATTATTGCTGATGGTAAGAAGAGCTTTAACTTATGAGGCAAACTGTCGTTTATGTTCACGTGGACGTTCTATAGCTCTGCGAAAACAGAGATATCAAACACTGGTTACAAGTGCATTTGTTTGCCATGTATGTATATAATGACAACCCCAGACAATAATCAGTCTCTATAATATGCCACAAGAGATCACACGTGGCGTTAAAGAGACAAGTTAGATGTGTCAATTACATGAATGAATCACTGAAAATGAGCGATGACATCTGGTAGGCATGTGTAAGCTCAGTCAGTAATACTTGCCACTCAGACATACACTTGACCGTGAAGATCCACACACTGCCCCTTCAAAAGATGTCTTCTTATCTACCTACAAGAGAGTTAACGATGTTGTTTTGTGATATTATATTTTTTGGTACACAATGCAGGCAGGTATAATCTGGCTAGAGGCAAGCCAGCAACAGCGAGCTCTGTGTATTTGCCCCTGCCTAGAGTTGCAACAGACGGTCTCCCCAACACTGATTGGGAATCTGGCAGTTGTTTTCATGTGGCAGTAGTAGGAGACTATCATCCCTGGTGGCAAGTCGATCTTGAAGCTTATTCTGAGGTGTTTGAGGTTGCCGTGACAAGCAGGAGTGACTGTTGTAGTGAGTATAATGTTACAGTTCAGTAACGATGTACATTAAACTATACTAAATCAAATAAAACTTCGACAACTGTTAACTGAATCCTACAATAGAAGTAGGTGAGTATAATTACTGTCCATGGGGATGCATACTTCCTGTCTGAATGTTCTACCCAAACACTATATGAGTGTTATTAATAAGGACGTCCTACATTTTACTTATTGTTTTCTCAGTGCCATTCAGATGACATCTGTTTTCCTTTATATACAAAGTTCCTGAACATTTAAAGATAGATATGTAATGTTTTGTGTGTTCAGCGCGTCTTTTAACAAATATCACATGGATCAAGAAATAAAGTGTTTACTTCAGTTTGCCCTGGAATGGTGGTGTACAGCTTTGAAGAATCAAATATTGTGATATCACTGATCCCGGCATGCTGCTGAAATCGTAACATCTAAAGCCAATTTTTCGCATGCACTTCAATACTATCTACCACTATAACGAACGTCCTTCCTTGATAAGAACCATGGAATCAAGTACGAAAACGGGATGAACATGTTTTCATGTTTTTGACTCAAAAGATGATAGCCCTGATGAAGGTGGGTTGGGCAGATTTCATCCCCATTTGACATACAAGCAAACAATTTGTGTAATGATGTTCAAATATAATGGTTATGTAATTTCAGACTTTGTCCGGGGAATAATTATAACCTTTCATGCAGAGCAGCTGGACTTTTAGTGACAGCTGGCAAGGACCAAATGGGGTTCTTCCAATTCTGCTCCTGTCATAAAATACGATTTCGTCACGTGTTACAGCTCGGAGACTACACGACTTCACACTGGAGGTCTTTAGAAGGAATCCGGCCACCTCAACAGGCGCCAGGAGTGCGCTGTGTGGAACCTACAATGGTGCGGTCACAGAACCAGGAAAGACTGCCAGTGTAAAATGCATCGGATCTGTTAGAGGGCGATATGTCCGACTGAGTGGGACAAAGGACGGTGAAGATGACATCCTTCAATTCTGTGAGGTCAAAGTTTTCGGATCCATTATTGCTGATGGTAAGAAGAGCTTTAACTTATGAGGCAAACTGTCGTTTATGTTCACGTGGACGTTCTATAGCTCTGCGAAAACAGAGATATCAAACACTGGTTACAAGTGCATTTGTTTGCCATGTATGTATATAATGACAACCCCAGACAATAATCAGTCTCTATAATATGCCACAAGAGATCACACGTGGCGTTAAAGAGACAAGTTAGATGTGTCAATTACATGAATGAATCACTGAAAATGAGCAATGACATCTGGTAGGCATGTGTAAGCTCAGTCAGTAATACTTGCCACTCAGACATACACTTGACCATGAAGATCCACACACTGCCCCTTCAAAAGATGTCTTCTTATTTACCTACAAGAGAGTTAACGATGTTGTTTTGTGATATTTTATATTTGGTACACAATGCAGGCAAGCATAATCTGGCTAGAGGCAAGCCAGCAACAGCGAGCTCTGTGATTGGGCCATCGCCTAGAGCTGCAATAGACGGTCTCCCCAACACTGATTGGAAATCTGGCAGTTGTTTTGCTGTGGTAGTAGGAGACGATCATCCCTGGTGGCAAGTCGATCTTGAAGCTTATTCTGAGGTGTTTGAGGTTGCCGTGACAAGCAGGAGTGACTGTTGTCGTGAGTATAATGTTACAGTTCAGTAACGATGTACATTAAACTATACTAAATCAAATAAAACTTCGACAACTGTTAACTGAATCCTACAATAGAAGTAGGTGAGTATAATTACTGTCCATGGGGATGCATACTTCCTGTCTGAATGTTCTACCCAAACACTATATGTGAGTGTTATTAATAAGGACGTCCTACATTTTACTTATTGTTTTCTCAGTGCCATTCAGATGACATCTGTTTTCCTTTATATACAAAGTTCCTGAACATTTAAAGATAGATAAGTAATTTTTGTGTGTTCAGCGCGTCTATTAACAAATATCACATGGATCAAGAAATAAAGTGTTTACTTCAGTTTGCCCTGGAATGGTGGTGTACAGCTTTGAAGAATCAAATATTGTGATATCACTGATCCCGGCATGCTGCTGAAATCGTAACATCTAAAGCCAATTTTTCGCATGCACTTCAATACTATCTACCACTATAACGAACGTCCTTCCTTGATAAGAACCATGGAATCAAGTACGAAAACGGGATGAACATGTTTTCATGTTTTTGACTCAAAAGATGATAGCCCTGATGAAGGTGGGTTGGGCAGATTTCATCCCCATTTGACATACAAGCAAACAATTTGTGTAATGATGTTCAAATATAATGGTTATGTAATTTCAGACTTTGTCCGGGGAATAATTATAACCTTTCATGCAGAGCAGCTGGACTTTTAGTGACAGCTGGCAAGGACCAAATGGGGTTCTTCCAATTCTGCTCGTGTCATAAAATACGATTTCATCACGTGTTACAGCTGAAAGACTACACGACTTCACAGTGGAGGTCTTTAGGAAGAACCCGGCCACCTCAACAGGCGCTGGGAGTGCGCTGTGTGGAATCTACAATGGTGCGGTCACAGAACCAGGAAAGACTGCCAGTGTCGAATGCATCGGATCTGTTAGAGGGCGATATGTCCGACTGAGGGGGACAAAGGACGGCGAAGGTGACCTTCAATTCTGTGAGGTCAAAGTTTTCGGATCCATTATTACTGATGGTAAGAAGAGCTTTAACTTATGAGGCAAACTGTCGTTTATGTTCACGTGGACGTTCTATAGCTCTGCGAAAACAGAGATATCAAACACTGGTTACAAGTGCATTTGTTTGCCATGTATGTATATAATGACAACCCCAGACAATAATCAGTCTCTATAATATGCCACAAGAGATCACACGTGGCGTTAAAGAGACAAGTTAGATGTGTCAATTACATGAATGAATCACTGAAAATGAGCGATGACATCTGGTAGGCATGTGTAAGCTCAGTCAGTAATACTTGCCACTCAGACATACACTTGACCATGAAGATCCACACACTGCCCCTTCAAAAGATGTCTTCTTATTTATCTACAAGAGAGTTAACGATGTTGTTTTGTGATATTTTATATTTGGTACACAATGCAGGCAGGTATAATCTGGCTAGAGGCAAGCCAGCAACAGCGAGCTCTGTGATTGGGCCACTGCCTAGAGTTGCAACAGACGGTCTCCCCAACACTGATTGGGAATCTGGCAGTTGTTTTGCTGTGGCAGAAGGAGACGATCATCCCTGGTGGCAAGTCGATCTTGAAGCTTATTCTGAGGTGTTTGAGGTTGCCGTGACAAGCAGGAGTGACTGTTGTCGTGAGTATAATGTTACAGTTCAGTAACGATGTACATTAAACTATACTAAATCAAATAAAACTTCGACACCTGTTAACTGAATCCTACAATAGAAATAGGTGAGTATAATTACTGTCCATGGGGATGCATACTTCCTGTCTGAATGTTCTACCCAAACACTATATGTAAGTGTTATTAATAAGGACGTCCTACATTTTACTTATTGTTTTCTCAGTGCCATTCAGATGACATCTGTTTTCCTTTATATACAAAGTTCCTGAACATTTAAAGATAGATATGTAATTTTTGTGTGTTCAGCGCGTCTATTAACAAATATCGCATGGATCAAGAAATAAAGTGTTTACTTCAGTTTGCCCTGGAATGGTGGTGTACAGCTTTGAAGAATCAAATATTGTGATATCACTGATCCCGGCATGCTGCTGAAATCGTAACATCTAGAACCAATTTTTCGCATGCACTTCAATACTATCTACCACTATAACGAACGTCCTTCCTTGATAAGAACCATGGAATCAAGTACGAAAACGGGATGAACATGTTTTCATGTTTTTGACTCAAAAGATGATAGCCCTGATGAAGGTGGGTTGGGCAGATTTCATCCCCATTTGACATACAAGCAAACAATTTGTGTAATGATGTTCAAATATAATGGTTATGTAATTTCAGACTTTGTCGGAGGGAATAATTATAACCTTTCATGCAGAGGAGCTGGACTTTTAGTGACAGCTGGCAAGGACCAAATGGGGTTCTTCCAATTCTGCTCCTGTCATAAAATACGATTTCGTCACGTGTTACAGCTGAGACACTACACGACTTCACACTGGAGGTCTTTAGAAAGAACCCGGCCACCTCAACAGGCGCTGGGAGTGCGCTGTGTGGAATCTACAATGGTGCGGTCACAGAACCAGGAAAGACTGCCAGTGTAAAATGCATCGGATCTGTTAGAGGGCGATATGTCCGACTGAGGGGGACAAAGGACAGTGAAGGTGACATCCTTCAATTCTGTGAGGTCAAAGTGTTCGGATCCATTATTGATGATGGTAAGAAGAGCTTTAACTTATGAGGCCTACTGTCGTTTATGTTCACGTGGATGTTCTATAGCTCTGCGAAAACAGAGATATCAAACACTGGTTACAAGTGCATTTGTTTGCCATGTATGTATATAATGACAACCCCAGACAATAATCAGTCTCTATAATATGCCACAAGAGATCACACGTGGCGTTAAAGAGACAAGTTAGATGTGTCAATTACATGAATGAATCACTGAAAATGAGCGATGACATCTGGTAGGCATGTGTAAGCTCAGTCAGTAATACTTGCCACTCAGACATACACTTGACCATGAAGATCCACACACTGCCCCTTCAAAAGATGTCTTCTTATTTACCTACAAGAGAGTTAACGATGTTGTTTTGTGATATTTTATATTTGGTACACAATGCAGGCAGGTATAATCTGGCTAGAGGCAAGCCAGCAACAGCGAGCTCTGTGTATGGGCCACTGCCTAGAGTTGCAACAGACGGTCTCCCCAACGCTAACTGGGAATCTGGCAGTTGTTTTCATGTGGCAGAAGGAGACGATCATCCCTGGTGGCAAGTCGATCTTGAAGCTTATTCTGAGGTGTTTGAGGTTGCCGTGACAAGCAGGAGTGACTGTTGTCGTGAGTATAATGTTACAGTTCAGTAACGATGTACATTAAACTATACTAAATCAAATAAAACTTCGACAACTGTTAACTGAATCCTACAATAGAAGTAGGTGAGTATAATTACTGTCCATGGGGATGCATACTTCCTGTCTGAATGTTCTACCCAAACACTATATGTGAGTGTTATTAATAAGGACGTCCTACATTTTACTTATTGTTTTCTCAGTGCCATTCAGATGACATCTGTTTTCCTTTATATACAATGTTCCTGAACATTTAAAGATAGATATGTAATTTTTGTGTGTTCAGCGCGTCTATTAACAAATATCACATGGATCAAGAAATAAAGTGTTTACTTCAGTTTGCCCTGGAATGGTGGTGTACAGCTTTGAAGAATCAAATATTGTGATATCACTGATCCCGGCATGCTGCTGAAATCGTAACATCTAGAACCAAATTTTCGCATGCACTTCAATACTATCTACCACTATAACGAACGTCCTTCCTTGATAAGAACCATGGAATCAAGTACGAAAACGGGATGAACATGTTTTCATGTTTTTGACTCAAAAGATGATAGCCCTGATGAAGGTGGGTTGGGCAGATTTCATCCCCATTTGACATACAAGCAAACAATTTGTGTAATGATGTTTAAATATAATGGTTATGTAATTTCAGACTTTGTCGGGGGGAATAATTATAACCTTTCATGCAGAGCAGCTGGACTTTTAGTGACAGCTGGCAAGGACCAAATGGGGTTCTTCCAATTCTGCTCGTGTCATAAAATACGATTTCGTCACGTGTTACAGCTGAGAGACTACACGACTTCACACTGGAGGTCTTTAGAAAGAACCCGGCCACCTCAACAGGCGCTAGGAGTGCGCTGTGTGGAACCTACAATGGTGAGGTCACAGACCACGGAGAGACTGCCAATGTAAAATGCATTGGATCTGTTAGAGGGCGATATGTCCGACTGAGTGGGACAAATGACGGCCACGATGACCTCCTTCAATTCTGTGAGGTCAAAGTTTTCGGATCCATTATTACTGATGGTAAGAAGAGCTTTAACTTATGAGGCAAACTGTCGTTTATGTTCACGTGGACGTTCTATAGCTCTGCGAAAACAGAGATATCAAACACTGGTTACAAGTGCATTTGTTTGCCATGTATGTATATAATGACAACCCCAGACAATAATCAGTCTCTATAATATGCCACAAGAGATCACACGTGGCGTTAAAGAGACAAGTTAGATGTGTCAATTACATGAATGAATCACTGAAAATGAGCAATGACATCTGGTAGGCATGTGTAAGCTCAGTCAGTAATACTTGCCACTCAGACATACACTTGACCATGAAGATCCACACACTGCCCCTTCAAAAGATGTCTTCTTATTTACCTACAAGAGAGTTAACGATGTTGTTTTGTGATATTTTATATTTGGTACACAATGCAGGCAAGTATAATCTGGCTAGAGGCAAGCCAGCAACAGCGAGCTCTGTGATTGGGCCACTGCCTAGAGTTGCAACAGACGGTCTCCCCAACACTGATTGGGGATCTGGCAGTTGTTTTGCTGTGGCAGAAGGAGACGATCATCCCTGGTGGCAAGTCGATCTTGAAGCTTATTCTGAGGTGTTTGAGGTTGCCGTGACAAGCAGGAGTGACTGTTGTCGTGAGTATAATGTTACAGTTCAGTAACGATGTACATTAAACTATACTAAATCAAATAAAACTTCGACACCTGTTAACTGAATCCTACAATAGAAGTAGGTGAGTATAATTACTGTCCATGGGGATGCATACTTCCTGTCTGAATGTTCTACCCAAACATTATATGTGAGTGTTATTAATAAGGACGTCCTACATTTTACTTATTGTTTTCTCAGTGCCATTCAGATGACATCTGTTTTCCTTTATATACAAAGTTCCTGAACATTTAAAGATAGATATGTAATTTTTTGTGTGTTCAGCGCGTCTATTAACAAATATCACATGGATCAAGAAATAAAGTGTTTACTTCAGTTTGCCCTGGAATGGTGGTGTACAGCTTTGAAGAATCAAATATTGTGATATCACTGATCCCGGCATGCTGCTGAAATCGTAACATCTAAAGCCAATTTTTCGCATGCACTTCAATACTATCTACCACTATAACGAACGTCCTTCCTTGATAAGAACCATGGAATCAAGTACGAAAACGGGATGAACATGTTTTCATGTTTTTGACTCAAAAGATGATAGCCCTGATGAAGGTGGGTTGGGCAGATTTCATCTCCATTTGACATACAAGCAAACAATTTGTGTAATGATGTTTAAATATAATGGTTATGTAATTTCAGACTTTGTCGGAGGGAATAATTATAACCTTTCATGCAGAGCAGCTGGACTTTTAGTGACAGCTGGCAAGGACCAAATGGGGTTCTTCCAATTCTGCTCCTGTCATAAAATACGATTTCGTCACGTGTTACAGCTGAGAGACTACACGACTTCACACTGGAGGTCTTTAGAAAGAACCCGGCCACCTCAACAGGCGCTGGGAGTGCGCTGTGTGGAATCTACAATGGTGCGGTCACAGAACCAGGAAAGACTGCCAGTGTAAAATGCATCGGATCTGTTAGAGGGCGATATGTCCGACTGAGGGGGACAAAGGACGGTGAAGGTGACATCCTTCAATTCTGTGAGGTCAAAGTGTTCGGATCCATTTTTGCTGATGGTAAGAAGAGCTTTAACTTATGAGGCAAACTGTCGTTTATGTTCACGTGGACGTTCTATAGCTCTGCGAAAACAGAGATATCAAACACTGGTTACAAGTGCATTTGTTTGCCATGTATGTATATAATGACAACCCCAGACAATAATCAGTCTCTATAATATGCCACAAGAGATCACACGTGGCGTTAAAGAGACAAGTTAGATGTGTCAATTACATGAATGAATCACTGAAAATGAGCAATGACATCTGGTAGGCATGTGTAAGCTCAGTCAGTAATACTTGCCACTCAGACATACACTTGACCATGAAGATCCACACACTGCCCCTTCAAAAGATGTCTTCTTATTTACCTACAAGAGAGTTAACGATGTTGTTTTGTGATATTTTATATTTGGTACACAATGCAGGCAAGTATAATCTGGCTAGAGGCAAGCCAGCAACAGCGAGCTCTGTGTATGGGCCACTGCCTAGAGTTGCAACAGACGGTCTCCCCAACACTGATTGGGAATCTGGCAGTTGTTTTGCTGTGGCAGAAGGAGACGATCATCCCTGGTGGCAAGTCGATCTTGAAGCTTATTCTGAGGTGTTTGAGGTTGCCGTGACAAGCAGGAGTGACTGTTGTCGTGAGTATAATGTTACAGTTCAGTAACGATGTACATTAAACTATACTAAATCAAATAAAACTTCGACAACTGTTAACTGAATCCTACAATAGAAGTAGGTGAGTATAATTACTGTCCATGGGGATGCATACTTCCTGTCTGAATGTTCTACCCAAACACTATATGTGAGTGTTATTAATAAGGACGTCCTACATTTTACTTATTGTTTTCTCAGTGCCATTCAGATGACATCTGTTTTCCTTTATATACAAAGTTCCTGAACATTTAAAGATAGATATGTAATTTTTTGTGTGTTCAGCGCGTCTATTAACAAATATCGCATGGATCAAGAAATAAAGTGTTTACTTCAGTTTGCCCTGGAATGGTGGTGTACAGCTTTGAAGAATCAAATATTGTGATATCACTGATCCCGGCATGCTGCTGAAATCGTAACATCTAGAACCAAATTTTCGCATGCACTTCAATACTATCTACCACTATAACGAACGTCCTTCCTTGATAAGAACCATGGAATCAAGTACGAAAACGGGATGAACATGTTTTCATGTTTTTGACTCAAGCCTAAAGATGATAGCCCTGATGAAGGTGGGTTGGGCAGATTTCATCCCCAGTTGACATACAAGCAAACAATTTGTGTAATGATGTTTAAATATAATAGTTTGGGGATCTGGCAGTTGTTTTACTGTGGCAGAAGGAGACGATCATCCCTCGCGGCAAGTCGATCTTGGAACTTATTCTGAGGTCATTGAGGTTGCCGTGACAAGCAGGAGTGACTGTTGTCGTGAGTATAATGTTACGTCATACTCAACTTATCTAAAACTTCGACACCTTGAAATTGTGTGCATTAGTATGTAAATAGATGTGTATCATACTTCTCTAACTCCGGCGTTCCTAACAAATTGTGCGTCAGAACTGCAGTATTGGGCGTAGCGTTGTGATGTTGAAATGTCAGCCGAGTACCATGTAGCTTCAGGAATGGCTGAGGAACAGGCACCCGGGTCTTCAGACTGTGTATTTACTGAAGATTACTGCCCATGTTCAGCCTGCATGTTGGTGTAGTGTTTATGGTACATCATGAAACTAACAGTGTTATACCCTCACAATTATTGCCAATAATGTTGTTGATTATATAGATCTACTTTCATTAGTTCACTGAGCAATTTGTAAATGCCATGATCTTAGTAAATTCCCCTGTGTCTGTCATGTACGTCCATTCCAAATGCCCACAAAGTATTTCATGGCTCCTTAAAAGAGACATGCAGTGCCACTAAACTGACCTGTCTTATTTCAACGAATGTGACAACATTTGAAATCGTCCTTTGCTACAGCTGAGAGACTACACGACTTCACACTGGAGGTCTTCACCAAACCAGGCGCCAGGGGTGCACTGTGTGGAACCTACCATGGTGCGTTCGCAGAACCAGGAAAGACTGTCACTGTAAAATGTACCCGACCTATTCAAGGGCGGTATGTCCGATTGAGTCGAAAAAAGAACGGTGAGGGTGACCGCCTTCAGTTTTGTGAGGTCAAGGTGTTTGGTTATGCGTTTTAACCAAGGCTTATAAAAGCATGCGGACATATAGTGTTTTGTTGTATATGTTCTGGGCTTCTACTCTCCACGATGATGGTAGTAATGGTATCCCAATTATCCAGCTACAAGATGAGGTGAAAAGGGGTTTAGCGTTGTACTAGCCCAGACTTAAAGGTCACATGCAACCAAAAAATCAAACATAATTAAAACACAAGTATCACTTATTCATGACATATAATATACATTGCTGATTATAAACCAACATATAAACAAAATTATAAGCGTACAATCGCAAATCAAAAGTGCAATATTTTGTACTTGGGTTTACTTCCCTCGAAACGAAGCACCCGGGATACCGAACCCAGTCAGAGCGGGTGGGTGCCGATGCTCTCACGGCTCATTGTGTGTGTGTGTATATAGAGATGTTGGGTTTTGTAAATGCATGCTCATTTTTTGTGTATAACCTTTTGCAATCAACAGACATCATAACATGTCATGTGTACAAGTATCACACCTGTCTGTCTGTCTAATTACATAATGTGACTGAAACCGAACTAGGGCCATAAATCAATGCGTTTTGTTTATAGTGTATAGCCTGATAGGTGTTAAGTTCAAATTGCATGTGGTCAGTGATCGAAGTTGTGTATTGAATATCGCCATGAGCAGACAGGCAGGCAGACACATAGGTGTCAATAAAACAGACATTGAGTTTTGTCTGTGACGACGACATGTCTATATCACAGTTAGAAATTCTGTCAATGCTAAATAATGACATTGCTTTTAAGTATCGAACTGAGAAAATGACTCGGTAAGAAGTACGTGCGGTGAAACAGTCAAATGAAATTATATAAACAGTTAAATCGGTAATCTACTGTCATAACATATAAAAAGCTCGCGTCTGAGAAATAACTTATGAAAAGTCAGCGCCTGAGAAATATCAATAAAAACATTAGAAACAATAGCTCACACCAAAGCCTCCCGACTCCGAGTACTCACCGCCAGGAAAGGTTTTTCGTCTTGAAATGTCGAATGCCTCACTGGTTGACACATAGCTGAGTAGATCTAGATCTAAGTCCATACCGAAAGGTATCATAATCTGCAAAGTTGTTTTTTACGTTGCATGTGACCTTTGAGCTGATTTTATAGTGCTAGCTCACTGAACTACCATGCCGCGGTTAAGCATGAATACCCCACTCAGACACATTATACTGACTCCGAGCCGATCAGTCTTTGTTATAACCATTAGTGCCGAGCGCCAGGCAGGGACCAACAAGTACCATATTTTAAGGTCTTTTGGAATGACGCAGTCGGGGATCGAACCCGCGACTTTCCGCTCTCCGGTCACCTATATTCCCATCATGTTACCCTACGAGGCAAAGTGAAGAAAATGCAGAGGTTGTTGAAAGACCGTTTTATGTCTTCATTTCTTTCCAAAATTTACATAATGATGAAAGACCAATAAGTTATGTGTTACAAATCTTACGTAAAAGTTAAAGAATTATTTTCACTTATGAGGTTTCGCGTGTTTACTATTGGTCAAGTTAGTTAATAAATTGTAATTCCGTGTGTGAAATTATCGAAACCAACCCAGTCAAATGGCTAACCAAATGAATATATTATCGGGTAAAACATTACTTTAGACATTATCTGTGCCCTGTACGTAAATTGTAAATCATTATCATTAGATACCCATAAATGCTATTTATTGTTCAAATGATTCGAAAATTCAATCATTTCACAGACTGCTATCATTTAGCTGGAACATTCCTGAGTTTGGCATTAAAAAACAAACTAACCATTCCATGTCGATATTCACATGTGAGATGACAGAGGCAATCGATTGCCCGTCCGAATCGATTATTCCGGTTGCTATTGTAGCTTCCAGATTAACCGCATCTCCAGTCTCAACACAGTGACGAGCACCACTGACGTCTACTAGATCTCAAAATAAACAGTGTTACGACACTGTTTCACCCTTTCGCAGAAGGAACGTTTGAACGAAGACATTTTCTTTGCGAATCAAAGTTCAAAAACTGGCCAATACGGTAAATAATAATAGACATTATTATTATCATGCAAATCAAATTCGCAGTGCAAACTGATCTCACTCAACCAAATCTTGTTTATGCACCGGCGATAATGTTGTCTTTGCCTTCAACATGCTTGAAGTTTAAGTGCAGTTTCAGCACAGAATTGTAGTTTTCTTTTTCATTTAATGAAGAAAAGCCTTGGTTAGGAATAAAAGCAGTCACAAAGAACAATATAAATTGTTGTAATGCTGAGACTAATAGCCAAGAGTTTCTCTCTAAAAGGTGAAATAATGTCTATGAGAATATGTTCAAAATTTCATGAATAATAACTAACAGGATGTACAAAGCCCGATGCATCGTCTTACAACAGGGAAGCACCCGCTCCAATGTCACCAGCATCTAGTGAAAATCTGAAGGGTTTTTCAAATTTTGGCGCTTTGAGAAAAAGAACATTCATATGGATGAACCTTTCACAAAGGTAGTCTGACAAATGGTGTTCCAAACAATTCTTATTCTAATGTCAAGGATATTGAACATTTTGACAACATGTTCGGTAGTAACCAATCTCATTAGTTTCTTTATATTGGAATTTTGAAATAGTTTCCACACTTGTTGGTTAGATCGATAACGTGCGTGTGGTGATTAGGTGATTCTGACCGTGTGGGTACGAATCCCGGAAGGGACTCAACGTAACAAAAGTACTAGAATCTGTACTTCAGGGGTCAAGGGTAACTGGTACAACTCCAATTTCATTTCTTGACCAAAATGCTGAAGGCAACCTGTAGATGCAAGAACACAACTCGAAAACTCGCATCGACAGGGATTTATTAATGTTACTATTTTCGGTAGTCGGTGACAAGTCATTGGCTTATTATCGTTGACATGACTCGGTCCATCGATGAGGTTTAAGAAACTAAAAGAAATAAAATGATTCTTTTAGCTAATACATCAATTACAGCATTTAAATATAACTTTTCTGAATTTTCAAATATAAGATTTCATAATTATCAAATATAGCTATTCAAAATTGTTAGGTAAAACATTTGAAGATTGTCCGACAACGCATTTGAGTAACATGCTTCAATAGCAGCTTTCTATCAAAATACACAATAATAATGGTCAAAATATTCCCATGATAACTCCAACAACATATACTATTCAAATGTCATATAAAGTTATACAATGTATGATTAAAAGTACTCACATTTGTGTTGCCATACGGAGAGATTTGCAGACAGCCAAGTGACCATGTGGATAGCACAGTGAATCAGCCTTTGCATGAAGATTTTGTGCAAGGGTTAGGTCATGTGACCATCAATAATGAAAATGAGGCTATATATTTACTAATTAAATTTACAAAAGTTTTGCCATTACGCTGGATTTGAACCCTAGCTCTTTGGATCACAAGTCTAATGTGTTAACCACTAGGCCACCGGACAATACACTCATTCATGCCTGGTTTAACAATGCTGAACATTACTGAATATAACATAACTTGTATTTAGCATTAACACAACCGATTCTCATCTCGTTGCGACAGCTCGTTTAGGGCACACTGGTCATATATACTAGCCACATAAAGAAACTGTGCACACAGAAAATGCCTTCAGAATTGGAATACAACACAGCAAAGACGAAATGATGTAGACACTTTATAAGCTGAAGTATCGGACCACAAGAAATTGTCAAAAGAACATGAACAATATCCGTAACGATGACGTCAAAAGTTCAAATCGAGTAGGGGGTCACATGACGCAGTCACAAAATCAATAACGGGTATGACCACCATGTGCGTGAAGCACAGCAGTGCAACGACGACGCATAGAGGCTACCAAATGAGCATTGGAGGCCTGGGAAATGGTCTGGGGCGTGGTCACTGCTGTCTGGAACCTGTATCTGAGATGAGTCACCCGAATCCACCTGTCTTGGCGTCGTTACGTCGGGAACGCCCAGAACGTGGGTGGTCGGCGACGTCATTACTGTTTCGATAACGCGTGACCCATGCGGATATGGTGTTACGATGGCATTGGAAATGTGCTGCCACCTGTTGTTGGCTCATTCCTGCTCGAACCATTCCAATGGCTTCATGACGTTGAGCAGATGTTAATCTTGGCATGATGTGCATGTGACTTCTCATGTGGATTTGTGAACGTTTAAATGACCAAAGATCAAGCTTTCGACAGTGACAGCAATTTCAGAGTTTCACATGTTGTATGCAGCTGTACGGGCTGCACGTGCAGTAACACATTGCAAGGCCATACGCCACCGTCAATGACGTCACGTCGCCCGGCACGTGCATGAGCGTTTGATTGTCTCCAATACTTGCTATGTTCACAAATGTATTTATGTATTTATGTACCAGGCAGCAGCTGGTTATGCTAGAAGTGTGTATAAAAATTCCTTTAAAATTCCTTTTGCAGCCAGAGTGGTGGGAAAGAGACTAATACAGATCATAAAGGGTTATAGGATTTTGGGACATATTTGTGAGGTTTTAGAGGATTGAGAGTACTGTTTAAAGGGTCATTTTCTTTGGAAATGATATTGATAGACGCTAGAAATTATCCTAAGTCATTCTGGAGAATTGTGGGGCAACAGTCCGGATGCAGATCTAACACTAAGTCCGGTCAAACATGCGGTCATAATTGAGGACGATGGAAGTATAGCAGATCCGGTATTCATATTCTCAGTTGAGAATGATTTTCCAAATATTCTCAACAGTTCAAATAACAAATTGAGTAAAAAATATATCACCTGTTTCAGATGGTATTGTTGCTGAAACTAATAGATTATGTCTACCACCAAGGTTTAAAGCTTTGTCTTGGATCCTTTAGAACTTCTGTTGATAAAATTCTTCAAAGGCCTTTACCTGAAGAAGGGGCAAGAACTAGCCCAGAAACGTTGTGAAAAGTAAACCAAGAAGTTGTTATCCATAAGATTTGTCTTGTATTCTGTTTGTAGTTTCCAAATACTTTGCTCAGTTCTTAACACGCCTATACTCAATTCAAACTCAATTCAACTTCAAAGTCACATGTCATGCACTTCTTCAACAAAAAATGCCAATACCTTCAACACAATGGGAACCGATGACCGCCTTACCCGCTCAGCCACCGCGACTTCCACAAAATGGAAGTCGGACAACTGGTAGTCTAGACTGCGGACTTCGTGTGCTCCTCTGATAAATGTAAATTGGCACCGTTCCCACGGCCGAAAACTATGATTACATAATGCCATTTAGAAAGTGGTCAAACGTAACATATGTTATATTTGGGATTACACTTTCTTAGTAAAGTACAGTTTCTAAGTACCTTTGTTGGGTTGAGTACCATTTGGGATTCGAACTCACACCCTCAGAATCAGGCACCTAATCGCCAGCACACAAAGTCTTGTGATGAAAGAATCACGGTCAAGCATGTCCTGCTTGACTGTGTTGATTTTTTCATCACAAAAGATAACTATTTCAAAGTTTCTTCCGTGAAGGATAATTTTAACGTAAGTTCATTTTTAATTCTTAGAGTCTTGGTTTTTAAAAAGAAATTGAATTATTGCACAAATTTTGATTGATAATGCTGTACATAGACACATGGCATTTTATAATCGGTAGAATTAGCAACCGAGATTGTTAGTGGCTGTATTCTCGAAGGGATAAAGTATTGTAACATTATTGTCCTCCTGAGTACGTACGTAAGTCCCTCAACCTTCAAGGTCAATTTTGCTCTACCGAACTTTTAATCGTAGTATTTTTATGTTTTAAATGATGGCTAAAACAGCTAAGTACAGTCGCCAGGGATTGAAGAGACGGTGTAAATCCAGCTAGGGTCCATGTAGATAGCAAAGCACTTCAAGTCCACATGGTCCCAAGTATGGTGATCAACTTTCAGTTGCTGGCGATACTCAGCCCGGTTTTCTTAAATATTGTGTTGTCCTGATTGCTATCAAATTTAGAGATAAATGCCAGTTTTAATTCTTGTTTCAGTGATAGTCTATTTATTTTTACTATCCATCGTCGACAGGTTTTTAAAAATTAACTGCATTTATCATGAATTTATAACTAGTTTTAGTCACGATGAGACTGAAATACTGCCGATATGACTATAAACTTAATCTCACTCACTCACTCACTCCTATATTGGGTCCGTGAGTGAGCATTGGGCAATCTTCACTGCCGACTTCAATGCAACAAAGATCGACCCAGAGCGATATGTGAGTGAGTGAGTATGGTTTTACGCCACTTTTAGCAATATTCCCCATATTGCAGATCAAAACAACACATGTTTCCTCGAGGATCTATGTCGTGTATTGTTTATTTGTTACAATACACTGAGAGTAACTTACCTCCCTTGGATTGATACCATGTTTACAGAAACAATACCATTCTCTACAGCAGCAAGTGTAATGCCGTCAACATGATACATTGGATAACGCTTGCTGCTATCTATGTGAAGTTTGGCATTATAGGAAAAAGTTTGAGTTTAGCTTTCCGCCACACTCGGCAATATTACAGCTATATGGCGGCAATCTGTAAATAATCGAGTCTTCACCAGACAATCTAGTGATCAACAGCATGAACATCAATCTACGCAACTGGGATACGATGGCATGTGTCAACCAAGTCCGCGAGTCTCACCACCCGATCCCATCTTACGACGAGCATGGGTTACTGAAGATCACTTCTAACCCGGATCTTCACGGGTGTCTAGGAGGTAGGATGAATGATACCCTAATATATTGTTTAACGCCGGAACACTCTTGTTATTGAATATGCGTGAAGATACATCCCCCGACTGTTACGTATTGTTACAGTCCCCGTCGTGTAGATCACGTCGTCAACTCGTGTGAAGCAAATGTCACCAGACACACCTTGACTGGCGTATAGAAAATATTTGTGATTATTATGCAACAACAACATATGAAATAGAAGCGGCAAAACCCTGTACACGTCCATAAGATATATCTGCTAAAACACAGAGTCGATTGTACAGTTGTGACTATATCATGGGTATACATCTGTTTCAGCAGTATTACAGCTGTATGATGATGCTTGTAAACAAATCGAGTCAGTGCCAGACAATCCAGTGATTGTCACGTTGCGATATGATGACAGAGCATGTGTTTATGACTCACTATGAAAGAGTGATGATACCAGGTGTTCGCGAAAAGGTGAGCGTATCCTGGCCCACCTGTGGCACCCGTTCATAAACATATGCTAAGTCTAGTCATTTGTTCATCTGAAATAATTCGAGTGAGTGAGTTTAGTTTTACGCCGCACTCAGCAATATTTCAGCCTTATGGCGGCGGTCTGTAAATAATCGAGTCTGGGCCACCCAAACCAGTGATCAACAGCATGAGCATCGATCTGCGCAATTGGGAACCGATGACATGCGTCAACCAAGTCAGCAAGCCTGACAACCCGATCCCGTTAGTCACCTCTTACGACAAGCTTGGATTACTGAAGATACATTCTAACCCGGACCTTTAAATAATTCGAGAACGTATGGTACAAGTCAACACACGAAATTGCATCAGACATTATTTTTGTCACTGATGCATCAAATTCGTAAATTTCCTCCACATGTCTACCCTAAAACTTCTTGAAAGCTTTCCTGAGGCCTTGAATATTGTAACCTTGATCAATCAACTTGTGAGCAAAAGTGGTATAACGCTCTTTGAAATCCTGATAACAAGAGCACGCTTGATTTTACCTCAAAGTTGAAAGTTGAAATCATCCCTTTTGTCATACAGCCTTGTGGAGAGATTTCAAGTTCAGGTGGGTAAATCAGTGGCTGGCAATTGACTATTTCATGGTCATTGAACGATATTAGATCATCGATATACCGGAAGCTTAAGGTAAACTTCTTGGTCAAATTATCTTGTTTTGATTTTGCCAACCCAATCAGAAATTCCGAAGTATAAAGAAACAGATCCGCAAAACTCTCCTCTGTTTGTTAAATCGAAATTCACGAGATTTACAGCCCGCTGATGTCATGTTTATAACATAACACAAATATGCATCAACTTCTGTGTCATGAAAATGTATATTTTGGTTTTAGAATTTAAAAAAATGAATATGTTTCTTTGCACGTCACTGTAACAATTCCCTGTAACAAGCATATCCCAGAAAAAACCAACAGTCACCAGGCACATCGTTTACAAATCGCTGAATAGGCACTCTTTGTTGAACAATATGCTTTTCTTTGTTCGTATTCATTGAAAATAGTACCTGTTGGTCTGTACAGCTGAGGGACATGTCCAGATAGCGTTGGACGGCCTGTCGATAATCTGCTATAAACAAAGGCAATGTGTCTTGAGATCCGAAGAAAAACCCACCGCCAATCCACACATGGTTTCCTTTGAAGATAGTCTCAGGGGGCGTGTCCATGTTCGCGTCGTAGACTTGGTTCATGGCCACGCGTGATTCGTTAAAATTTGGGGGTTTTACTATAACAAACTCTTTCTTCCGTTCAGTGATCAGTCGGAAATAACCGACATCGATCCAGGTGTAATAAGTGGTATTGAAATGATTACTTTTAACTGCTTGTTCTGTCAATTCATATTTGGCGTGTTGAGCACATGTGTATTCGGGCACGACTGTGTTCGGGTGGAACTTTGGGTATCCTGGGATTGAATAGATTTGCTTGATCCTCTCTACCCATCCGAAAGACCATAGCTTTTCTCTGTCCACCAGAACTATTTTCGTTGTACCTTCCTTACCGGCTCTCATCTGGAGAAACTTTTCAGCAATGTCTACCGAGTCTGTGTAAACGATGAAAGGATTTCGCAGATGTGTGAACACTGCTGACCACGACATGTACAATTTAGAATTAAATATCCTTCCGGTGCCTTTCTGGAATGGCCCCAGATTGAAAAAGGCGGTGACTACAGTGACGTCAGGAGGCTGCGTTCTATTGTATGTCCGGGGTTTCACCTGCGGGATCTGCATGGGGATACAGGGCGGCCTCTGAAACAGTCAGATACTAAATAGTAGACCCACACGAAATATTTACGAACAAAATTAAAACAACCCATCTGAGCATAAAATGAAACGCCCCAATGTTCCTACAGCTTACGTATTGCTGTAACATATTCCTGTAGAGCTGTATGAAGGACACAGTGTGTAACCCTCACAGTGGTGTGTGCACGCAGTACCTCAAACCACGATGTTCCACCATGGACAGAACACGTGCGGGGGATGTTGTAAGTTGGATTTGATGACGTTCATCAGCTGGTGATGCATCACGTATGCTAATTCCATGATGAGAGAAGTGTTTTAAGGAAAATGTACACAGTTGAGTCGCTGTCTTCATAATATGTACCTCACGGGGCGTGGATCCGGAATACCTGGATGATGTCTCGACACCGATCAACTTGGGTTTGGCGTGGGCATATTTGACGGTTGTCTGAAAGACAATTATAAATACTGGGATATTAAAGTGGTTATTCGTGCCGTTTAGAAGTGCAACAGAATGGACTACTGAACACTACAGTCTACAAGGAACCAACAATATGACACAGCTCATTTATAATCAAATAACTGCTAACTTAATGACCGAAACTAGCAGATGGGAATATTTATTCAAGGAAGCTCGATTCTAAATACTATACAGGTCAAATGTATTCGAAAATGCGATTCACTATCTTTTCAATTGTGAAGCTCTTCGCAAAGTTCCACTTTTATACATACCTATCAAATACCATTCAAGCTCGCAAGCTCGGTCGATATTAGTTTACTCAGGTCAATAAAAACCGATATCGACCTCTACAAGAGTCTATAATTGTAATCTTGTCAATTGTAGGCACATTTATGAAGCTTCCTACTGCAACATACATGAAGAATCAGAGACACCTCTCACTACTTGGTGTACGTATCGGCCGGTTGATCAAAACAGCAGACATGAACAATTCTCGTTGTAGGTAGATGCGTTGGTTACAGATACATGAAAACATGAAATCTGAACAGATCCCTTGATATGCTACAAGAAAGAACCTTATTTTCACATCACCCTGACATCCTGATATTCACACCCACCGTTTACGTCTGGTGCATGCATGGTTGGTGGCAATATTAAAGCGACGCCTACCATACTGTTGGGCAACAGACAGTGACAAGCGTTAACTTTGTTAACAGACTGATGTATATCGTGTATTTTGTATTAGTAGTCCTTTTGTTTTGTCGTGTATTAATGACAATCAGTCTGCAAGATTCCCTGACTGCCACATTCCTTATACATCCTGTTTCATGTTTCATGTACAAGACACGTGGGATTCAGGGCGTTTCTATGGTTACCATGCATTTTCAATTATACCACAGAATGCATTATGTCATGCCGCTATGTAACTAAATATGACTTCTCGAGACTGTTTACTGATGCTCGTCAATCAGTCTCCCTGGCATACAACTAGTGTGCATAAACAATAAACAACTTCAAGTGCATAGGTCAAGTGTGGGCCAAATTAAATTTACACACACACACACACACACACACACACACACACACACACACACACACACACACACACACACACACACACACACACACACACACACACACACACACACACACACACAAAATAAGTACATAGGTTCAGAGCTCAGAGGCACTATTTCTTTATAGTGAAATGAAAAGTGTCATACACTATGATTTTGGGGGCGTTACCATGGCAACCAGGACTTTTCAAAGACATTCAGTATGTGAGTGAGTGAGTTTAGTTTTATGCCGCACTCAGCAAATATTCCAGCTATATGGCGGCGGTCTGTAAATAATCGAATCTGGACCAGATAATCCAGTGATCAACAGCATGAGCATCGATCTGCGCAATTGGGAACCGATGACATGTGTCAACCAAGTCAGCCAGCTTGACCACGTAATCCCGTTAGTCGCCTCTTACGACAAGCATGGGTTACTAAAGGTTCATTTTAACCCGGACCTTCGCGGGTTCATTCAGTATGTGAATATATCAAAGATAACAATGACATTTTGCTTTATGCATATGTTTAGTGATTCCCTGTGTAACATACAACCCAACTGTTAACAAACAGGGACATGAAAATTGTTACAGGTCAAGTTCACGGTCACATGAACATGCTTGATAATTTCCAAAACACGTCAACTTCGCATATTTTCTCACCTAGTTTAGTTTGTAAAGACAAATATAAGACATGCATCATGGTTGTAGATACCAGATTCTCTGCTTTATAAAATGCGATGTTGCAAAGATATAAAATGGCTTATTGTACAAATTGAAGAGGCTGGGGAGGGAGGACTTTTTAAGTTTTCTAATAAATCAAAGACAACCTTTAAGGGTTCCTTTCTTTATATCTTTTAGTGATTATTTTTATATCTAAACTGACAAACATGCACAGAATAACCATGAACACCCTCGACTACATGTTTTGTAGAGTATACCATTACAATTTCTTATGTACACAACAAGCATTGTTTTTTTACACGTATATGTGATGTCAGAATAGGTTCGTGATATTGCAGTATCAGATCCAGACATAGCTTCCATATAATGGACTGAATATTATAAAACAAACACAACCTACTAGGGTTGTTAAATGTACACTTGTTATGTAGACCTTCATGACTCAGCATGTTTCTCTGTCCCTGCCCTCCAATTACTAATGACATCACATCTCTTAGTAACTGTTACGAATTGCTAATGGTTCACTGTGGTGATTGTAACGCCTGCCTGTGATACTTCCCAGTGTATGATAGTACAACGGCGCACCAAGACGCCAGTGTCATCACGTCTCACAGCTGTGCATGTTTCAGAATTCTTCTAGATTACATGCACGATTAATCGAACATATGCTTCCACCTATATTAACAACAAATGTGATTTTTTCAACATCTCGTGACCTAGTCACTTTGACAACTTTGCCATCCAGGAATCGCCAAGCTCCCATAAGCTTCCTTTATCTTTAATTCTGACTATGTGCTTGACTTCTTCTGTGTGCAATCTTGAAGATCTCTAGCAAGTCATGCGCAGTGGTGGTGCAATCATGTTTCTCTGATGCACTTGTGTTCCTGCTGTACTATTGTGTGATGGGTCACACTTTGGGAACAATTGTCTACCATTAATATATATGCACTCACGTCCCCACTGTATATGACAGATATGTAAGCATATGATTTCCAAATATTCAGTCTATCTGTTTTGTATACAGCACCAACTACGGTATTTAAAATACATCCTGGCATAGCATGTACAGGTCAGAGACAGGTTTACAACTACAGTTGAACTAAGGGTCTTCATTGCAACAACCACAGGTATGCCAGTTTCCTTTCTCCCCTCTACTGGTGATGACTACCGTGTACATCAGGAGACGCTGCACTACCGGTGTCACAGCCATCTTAGCCAGTCATATGTACCATAACCAACTTGCTGAAGATGGAGACAGAATACGAAAAAGAACCCGGTTCCCATCATTCTCTTATAAGATACTGCTCGACAAGAAACAAAAGATTCTCTGTGTACTTAAAGAAAGTGCCAGTGGCTGTCACGTTCTTCAGAATTTTAGTGTGCTTATTTTTTTTGTCAGCCCTTAAAAATATTAACACATGTTTCAAATGAAAACATGGTTGAAACTGTAATTATTTGTGTGTGAAAAGGTTAAAAGAGCACAATCTGTAAGTTATATGGAAGTGAAGTACATAATTTGACGTGTTCCTCAACTGATCCAGCATGTTCCTGTTCCTGTTCCTGTTCCTGTTCATGTGCCCTGGAACTTGACTTTAAATTTGAAACATGTTTCATGTCCCTGTTTGTTTGGTGGTATGTTACACGGCTGATCACTAAACATATACACAAAGCAAAATGTTAATGTTGTCATGGTGACGCCCCTACAAATCATACTGTATGACATTTTGGCAACACTGGCTTTCATAATATCATGGTTATGGTTGGGGGTGGTGACATCTATAGAGGATTGGTTGGAATGGTATCATCTATAGGAGACTGTTTAGGGTTGTGACATCTATAGAGAGATGGTTAGGGTGGTGACATCAAAAGGGGATTGGATGGGGGTGGTGACATCTATAGGGGATTGGTTGGGGGTGGTATCATCTATAGGAGACTGTTTATTGGGCTGACATCAATAGAGGATTGGTTGGGGTGGTGACATCTATAGCGGGTTGGGCGGAGGTTGTGACATCTATAGAGAGTTGGTTGGGGGTGGTGACATCTATAGATGGTTGGTTGGGGGTGGCAACATCTATAGAGATTTTATTGAGGTGGTGACATCTATAATGGGTTGGATGGAGGTTGTGACATCTATAGAGAGTTGGTTAGGGTGGTGACATTTATAGAGAGTTGGTTAAGGTGGTGACATCTATAGAGAGTTGGCTAGGGGTGGTGACATATATAGAGGGTTGGTTAGGGGTGGTGACATGTATAGAGGGTTGGATGGAGGTTGTTACATCTATAGAGAGTTGGTTAGGGATGGTGACATATATAGAGAGTTGGTTAAGGTGGTGACATCTATAGAGGGTTGGTTGGGAGTTGAGACACTTATAGAGGGTTGGTTGGGACTTGTGACATTTATAGAGAGTTGGTTAAGGTGGTGACATCTATAGAGGGTTGGTTGGGGGTGTTGACATATATAGAGGGTTGGATTGGGGTTGTGGCATCGATAGAGAGTAAGCTAGGGTGATGACAGCTATAGAAGATTGGTTGAGGGTGGTGACATCTATAGAGAGTTGGTTAGGTTGGTGACATCTATAGAGGATTGGTTGAGGGTGGTGACATCTATAGAGAGTTGGTTAGGGATGGTAACATCTATAGAGGATTGGTTGAGGGTGGTGACATCTGTAGAGAGTTGGTTAGGTTGGTGACATCTATAGAGCTTTGGTTGGTGTGGTGACATCTATAGAGCTTTGGTTGGTGTGGTGACATCTATAGAGAGTTGGTTGGGGGTAGTGACATCAATAGGGGATTGGTTGGGGGGTTGTGGCATCTACAGGGAGTTGGTTGAGGGTGGTGATATCTGTAGAGAATTGTTTCGGGGTGGTGACTACAACTGTTCAGACAGCAATAGAATTCTGATCCATTAGCAGGTGCATACTGACGACGAAGATATACACAGCGCATGAAAGTCTTTTTATGAGTGCAATACTGCGTCTCCCCCCCTTTCCCTCTCTGTCACATCACAAGATTACATAACTGCTTGTACGTCCATGTTTGATCTTATAGCGGAGACAGCCATATGTCTGCTTTTAAACATATGTGTGCGATCTAATTCCAGCTATGTGGTTGGCTACTCCATGGTCTTGACGGGCTACTTTCCTGGTAGCAATTAATTGATACGTTAGTCGTACTCCGGTCGAACTCACTCACGTATGTGTTGCAACTTTAATGTTTAAAAGCGTTGGTAAACGTCGATGAAGGATATCTGATCAATCCCACCTTCGTGATATAACTGATACGACGGATACCTGCGGGTGGAGGGCCACACTTGCTATGAGTAGTATGCTGGAAGACGACAGAAATAACCTTTCTGTTTCGTCACGATATGGCTGAAATATTGCCGATGTGACGTTAATTCTTAACTCACTCACTCACCTTTCTGCTACGTATTAATGCCCCAATGTTGCCATGAGAATAGAGAAAATATATGTTGATTCGATGCTAAAACAGTCGAGTATTATTTTTGACAGATTACTGCAGACCGTGTCTTTCAGAAATGACATATCTAACTCGGTGTAAGGTAGATGGTATCTGACCGATACTAATGTGTTCTCTGTGTTCCACGTACCTGCAGTGAGACGTAGCTGAAACTGATGACAATCACCATTGCAACCAGCGCGGCGAAGAAGAGCAAAACACGTGCGCCTTTCTTCATCACCCAAACCTCCATCTTCAGACCCTGTACCAGGCACAAACATACACGTGTCAATAAAATTGTGAAAAGTTATGGCAGTTCTCTATATTACACGGAACTGTCACATTGAAAGCCAAATCTCTTTGTTACACAGAACTGTCACATTGAAAGGCAAGTCTCTATGTTACACAGAACTGTCACGTTGAAAGGCAAGTCTCTATGTTACACAGAACTGTCACATTGAAAGGCAAGTCTCTATGTTACACAGAACTGTCACATTGAAAGCCAAATCTCTATGTTACACAGAACTGTCACATTGAAAGGCAAATCTCTATGTAACACAGAACTGTCACATTGAAAGGCAAATCTCTATGTTACACAGAACTGTCACATTGAAAGGCAAATCTCTATGTTACACAGGACTGTCACATTGAAAGGCAAATCTCTATGTTACACAGAACTGTCACATTGAAAGGCAAGTCTCTATATTACACAGAACTGTCACATTGAAAGGCAAGTCTCTATGTTACACAGAACTGTCACATTGAAAGCCAAATCTCTATGTTACACAGAACTGTCACATTGAAAGGCAAATCTCTATGTAACACAGAACTGTCACATTGAAAGGCAAATCTCTATGTTACACAGAACTGTCACATTGAAAGGCAAATCTCTATGTTACACAGGACTGTCACATTGAAAGGCAAATCTCTATGTTACACAGAACTGTCACATTGAAAGGCAAGTCTCTATATTACACAGAACTGTCACATTGAAAGGCGAATCTCTATGTTACACAGAACTGTCACATTGAAAGGCAAATCTGTATATTACACAGAACTGTCGTATTGAAAGGCAAATCTTTATGTTACACAGAACTGTCACATTGAAAGGGATCTCTATGCTACACAGACATTTCATATTGAAAGACAAATTTCTATATTACACAGAACTGCCACATTGAAAGGCAGGTATTTATGGTACACATGTTAGAACTGTAAAGGTCAACCCTGAATATATACTAAGCAGCAAAAGAAACGTCACTTTGGAATTTTCCTTCGCAGAAACGGATAACTGTAAACTCATTTAATGTTTTGATTGTATACTTTTGACAACATCTCCAACTTTACCTGAGCAAAGACATTCCTTCCAAAACTCAGAATGGAACCCAGGAAATGGTCTCAAAAACGCAACCTGATCTCGGAGATGGTACGGTGTTCTCCATGTTTTTCATGCAACTCATGCTGCACGTGCTGTTCACAAGGACCAGCCCTATAAATTGCACCCCCAAACCTGGTTGAAACATTCACATTACAACGTCAGCTGGATGCCGCGACTCACGACAGCTGAGAGAAACCAGGCGCTAGGAAGACTTGAAGCTGGCCACACTGCACAAGCCGTTGCCAATCACTTCCAGGACAACGTTCGGACCATCTACAGGCTGCAGCAACGTTTCCGGGCCACCAACACCACAAATAATCGCCCCCGTGCTAGCAGACCAAGGGTGACCACAAGACGACAAGACCGCCATGTTGTGCGACAGCATGTACAGAATCCCTTCATGCAGGCATCCGAAACAGCACGCCAGACAGTGGGAACACACAGAAGAGCAATCAGTACTGACACAGTATGCCGACCTCTTAACAGCGGGAACCTCCACTGCCGTAGACCTTACCGTGGACCTATCCTCACCCCTCGTCATCGGCGTGAACGTCTACAGTTTGCCCTACAACACCAAAACTGGCGATACAGGCAATGGAGAACTGTTCTGTTCACAGATGAGAGTCGGTACTGCGTATCAACTGCAGATGGCAGAACAAAAATAAGGAGACGACGTGGCCAGCGTTACTCAGACCAATGTGTTATGGAAAGAGACTAATGGGGAGGTGCAATCATCATGGTATGGGGTGGAATAGGCCTGAACCAGAGAGTGGTCCTGTGGTGTTCCAGAACCTTGGTCCAGGGAGAGGAGGCGGCATCACAGCGGTGCGCTACATCGACCAAGCGCTCAGACCCCACGTCATACCACATTTCGCACGTCACCGGAACAACATTTTCCAGCATGATAACGCCCGGGCCCATACTGCCAGAGCTACACGGGACTGCCTACAGCAGAACGGTGTCAACATTATGCAGTGGCCAGCCCTTAGTCCTGATTTAAACCCAACTGAAAATCTTCGGGATGAAATCCAGAGGAGACTGAATAATGTCATACCAAGGCCGAACACAGCCGATTTATTGCGCCAGGCCATTCTCAGAGTGTGGTTCCAGGTGCCAATGGCCTTCAAATCTATTGGTACACTCCATTCATAGACGCTGTGCTGCAGTTATTGCCGCTCGTGGTGGTCAAAGTAGATATTGAAGTCATGAGTCTGAATGGACTGCAAACGTTCACGTAATGTCTTGAAATTGTGCTGAGTTATTCATTGATGTGTTAAGATATTGTACACAAAAATGTTTTTGATCCACTTATTATGTCCATTTCTGTAATGATTTGATTACAGTGCCTATCTCATTTTGAATTCATACTGACGTTGTTTTTGCTGCTGAGTATATATTAACAGATAAATGCGCCACAAATCCCTTTCCATATATACATTTTAAATAAATCCATGCTGACTCCATTTAACGATTTTTACTTCATTGTAATCACGAGTACATTATTTACTATTCAAAAAGGCCGATAGCAGCTGCCGTTGTTCACGTGAAGCAACTCCTGGTATGATGCTGTCGACATGTCAGTGCATTAATGTCATCGGTATTCGTGGCCCTCGTCGAAATTACAAAACATTGTGTGTGAATCTGCTGTGTGTGAATCTGTTGTGTGTGAATCGTCGGCTGGTGACAAGCTGGGATACCAGTGACCTGCATTACTCCTCTTGTTTTGCAACACACCCATCTTTACGTTGGGTGCTATGGAGCGACTAACATTAGGGACACACCTCAGATGGGAATTCTTATACAGGTCCATATAGCCACGGTCAGCTCACGTTTCTGACGTCTCAACATTGTTATTATATGCATATCAACATCCTGATGACGCTTTTCTAATCGCGTGACAAATCTACATCGTATATATGTTTGTCTGGCGGCATGTGTAGTATATGTAGATATGTTTGTCTGGCGGCATGTGTAGTATATGTAGATATGTTTGTCTGGCGGCATTTGTAGTATATGTGTATATGTTTGTCTGGCTACACGTGTAGTATATGTGTATATGTTTGTCTGGCGGCATGTGTAGTATATGTATATATGTTTGTCTGGCGGCATGTGTAGTATATGTGTATATGTTTGTCTGTCGGCATGTGTAGTATATGTACATATGTTTGTCTGGCTACACGTGTAGTATATGTATATATGTTTGTCTGGCGGCATGTGTAGTATATGTGTATATGTTTGTCTGGCGACATGTGTAGTATATGTAGATATGTTTGTCTGGCGGCATTTCTACTATATGTATATATGTTTGTCTGGCGACATGTGTAGTATATGTAGATATGTTTGTCTGGCGGCATGTGTAGTATATGTAGATATGTTTGTCAGGCGGCATGTGTAGTATATGTATATATGTTTGTCTGGCGGCATGTGTAATATATGTGTATATGTTTGTCTGGCGGCATGTGTAGTATATGTATATATGTTTGTCTAGCTACACGCGTGGGATATGTGTTTATGTTTGGCGGTATGTGTAATATATGTATATATGTTTGTCTCGCGGCATGTGTAGTATATGTATATATGATTGTCTGGCGGCATGTGTAGTATATGTGTATATGTTTGTCTGGCGGCATGTGTAGTATTATTGCGCATGCGTCCTGCAAAGTGCTTGACCATAACACATCTGCTTTCATTTGAAATGTTATAAATCAGCAAACTGAAGAGAGATATGACACACAAGTAGTTGAAACATGTCGGACATGGGCGTTTCGAATTTTGTCGACCACAATGGTTGATATAACAACATGGAGAGAACGTATCGGAAGGTACACACATCGACCAGGCTGGAGTCAGAGTGACAAGATATGTATAACCCAGACACTGGGTAAACCTGCTCAACAACAACTGGGTACAACTACAGAATGGTGAGACTATTCGTCGTTGTATGTCTGTCCGGCAGTCACCTTACAGTTTTTGGAACATTGCCAGTAACAAGAGGGTTACTTGAATGTGATCTGAAGCATGAACGTATATCTGTTCACCATATGCATGGGTCAATGCCAAGTGGTATCAACCACAGAAACGATCAACTCCTCGTACGTAATGCACTGTTAGGGGAAGCTCGGTGTAAAGAGCTGTAGTGACTTTGAAGACAGCCCTGGCCAGTCACTCAATTAGCCCTTGCAAGTATGAAAGCTGAATATCTGCCCTGAGATGAAGAATGTTAATATTCATGGCGACTTCACGCACCTAACAAGACGTTTCCCATATACAGGACCACGTGAAGTTTCTGACGAATTCAGTAACTGAGCTGAGGAGTGGTGTCAGCACACTGAGTGAGGAACTTAGTCTTAGTTATTGACTCTAATAACGACAATATTGAGTAGGTATCCTAAAGTGATTAACTTGACGAGAAAGGTGGCATATCGGCATCAGGTGGGGTTGTGACAACTATAGACAATTGGTTGGGGTGATGGCATCAGGTGGGGTTGTGACAACTATAGACAATTGGTTGGGGTGATGGCATCAGGTGGGGTTGTGACAACTATAGACAATTGGTTGGGGTGATGGCATCTATAGGTGGGGTTGTGACAACTATAGACAATTGGTTGGGGTGATGGCATCAGGTGGGGTTGTGACAACTATAGACAATTGGTTGGGGTGGGGATGGCATCAGGTGGGGTTGTGACAACTATAGACAATTGGTTGGGGTGATGGCATCTATAGGTGGGGTTGTGACAACTATAGACAATTGGTTGGGGTGATGGCATCAGGTGGGGTTGTGACAACTATAGACAATTGGTTTGGGTGATGGCATCAGGTGGGGTTGTGACAACTATAGACAATTGGTTTGGGTGATGGCATCAGGTGGGGTTGTGACAACTATA